CTTCTGTAATGGTCCAGTTAGGTATAAACCACAGAGAAAGCGTTGTAACTTCAGCAGGTGAGGCTGCTGACCTCAGCCCTGCTCCAGAACATCTCTCTGGCCTTTCAGTAAATGCCAGCAGCGAAAAAACCCGCTGTGTACTTAATGCTTTCAGCCTGTCATCAGCAGCACCGCTATCATATGAACACTGAGCTGACTTAATAGAAAGCACCAAAGCACCACTGACAGTACGTTACTAGTTGGTTTTTTTTATTTTAAATTTTTAAAAGTAATTCCATCAATAAGATGAGTAGTTCTCTCAAGTAACTGAATTCTTAACAGAATGACTGAAGTTTAAAATGTGTTTTCCCCAGCCCAAAATGAAAGGACAGCCTTCCAAACAGCTTGTTTGGGTACAAAGTAAGCTCACCTCACAAAAATCCAATAAATGACTTTATTAAATATATTCTTTTCCTCTAAAATATAAATATTCACTATACTCTTATAAATGTGGAGTAGGTCCATATTTCATTTGTCTATCCCATCCAAATATGAATCAGTCCAAAATCTGAAAATGAAGAAATAGCATCTGTAATTATCATTATTTTTTCTATAAATATATATAATATGAATTTTCTTTGCAAACTGTTTAGTTATTCACTTATACTTCATATAGTACTGAGCACCTTAGATTACATATTGTGTCATTTAATTGTTGGTACTAATATAGGAATTTGTAATATTTACAATGCACATACATGTTAGGTATAACATTCCAGTGATTTGTAAGTGTTAAAGGAATAAGGAAATAGTGCAGTATAGTTTACATATGTATTTAACCTACCCCACAGTACGCAAGTTTTCACTTTAACCTCTGGAACTTTTATAGGAACCTGCATCCAGATTTTTTAAGTTATACTTTGGAACAGCAATAAAAATGTCCAGAATCGCTTTTTAAAACCTTCACACAACAGTTTACTTGATGATGTGATGCGAGTTCATACGCAAAGACCCAGTCCCCCAGCGTACCGACTGCTCTTGGCTTCTCAGATGTTCTCCTAGGAACTTCCAAGCCAAAGGAGACCCAAGTAACTGCCACAGAAAGTTACACGAACGGCAGTGGTCGCTAAATGAAAAATGTCCATTTGGAAATGATTGGTAAGTTTTGTAACGTGTTCTCTCCTACCTTTTGAATTTACATGAGGAATTAACTTTTAAGTGCAAGTACCATGACAGTAAAACCAGAGTTCACAGCTAGGTGAATGCCCTCCCAGGCTCGCTTCTGACTGGGAAGAGGTGCTGGGAGTGGGGCTGCTCTTCCAAATGGTGATTTAGCTGCTGTTCTTCAATGATTATTTTCTGTATTTGTGAATTCAGCCCATCATCTTAATTTTTTAATTAGTTTTGATGATTAAGATACCTATGGAAACCACCATGAACTAATTCCTATGCTGTGAATAAACAGCATGACTTATGCTTAACTCTCAAGACTTAGCTTAAAAACAGCATGAAACCAAACTGTGTTTTTAATTTTCTTCTTTGCCCGCCAAGTGATGCTAAGTTGAAACTTATGTGCTTCCTCAAGAATAAAAGAAGTTCTGTAATATGACAAGTGAACTTCCACAAACTTTGGATTTATTACTTCCTGTACAGTTTCTGTCCTTCAAAGTGTGAATTTAGGGCAAAACTCTAAAAGCAAACAAAATCCCACCCCTATATGAAGCACTTCTGTTTACAAAGTAAGAGCAACAGAAATGCCATCCCTATTCTGCTGCTTTCTGTTCCCACCTGACCACAGAAAGCCAGTTGAGTAGTTCCAGGCGCAAGCTCTGTGTATCGTTTCTGATGACGAAAGTCAGCGTTCCTGCCTGCTTCGTGCCAAAGGTAACCGTGAACAAGGCTGAAACTCAGTGATTCACATATTTTGACTTAAAACAGTACGTTATGGTGCAGAACAGGAACTAGCAAGTGATGGGTATGGAGGTGAATGTCTTATGTTTTACCAGTAAGGAATAAACCTGGACTTGCCAAGTCAGCCTCACAGGAGCAGTTCCAGGTTAAGGTTTTTCTGGCAGTGCAGCTCGTGTTCCTGCCCTGGTGCGTTTCCTTGCTGTTGTGGATCTGCTTGAATAACTTTTCTGATCTAATCTAGAAAAATCTCAAAAAATCAAGTCTTCCTCCTTCCCCACCTTTGTTCTTCCATGAAGACCACACAACCAGCTTTGTCAGAGCTGAGGGGGTGACACAGCAGGGGTAGGATGACAGGAACTTCAGCATGGCTTTCTGTTGGAAAGGTACCGTGCAAATGTGCTGGCAGAAGCTTAGGTCATGCTTCAACATGGATTCTGGTAACCTTTACCTAAGCCGGGGATCCCGGGTAGCTGAAACTCATTTGCCACTCTGGGAAGTCACTATAAGAATACATCCTGTGTGTTCATTAACAAAGGGCGCTCCTACCTATGCCCCACTGACAGCTGGCTCTCAATACATCGCTATAGCTAGTCATGCTTTGGGTTCCATCGCTAAGGATGTACACAAGATGTCTTTATCATTTAATCTGAAAGTGCCACTTGCCAGGGACCCTCTAGCTGTTTGCTAACACAGCTGTATTGCTGTAGAGCATCTGACTCAAAGGTGCGTATTCCCATGCTCTGCTGGGTATTCAAGCAACAGCTTCTGACAGTGCTCCAAAAGAAAAATCTTCTGTAAGTGGTGCACAGGGTAGCACAGAAAAAATATTTTACTTCTGGGTGGTGGGACAATCTTGTTTGGAGAACTTCTACTCAACCAACCTTGAGCTTGTGTTACAACCAACACCTGCTCTTGTCTGCTTAGCCCTTTACTTATTCCATATAAACAAGTATGTTGAAATAGGCACAATTTATGATTCTGAAACACTTACATGTATGATACTACGCGCTTTTACTGTCTTATACAGGATTTTAAAATCCCATTATTTACAATTAAATCCACTGTTTTCCTTGTCATGCCACCTCTTTAACTGATCAAAATGAAACCTGGGCCTTGGAAGACCAGAAATGACCAAGGCCCAGTACTGAACCCCAAGCTGGTGTATGCTGCTAGCTGGTGCGGGTTGCTGCTGTTGACTGTCCTTCAGATTAGCATGGTCACTCCGTCTGTCTTTGAAGAAACAGATGTATCCCACTTACGCCACCAGGCCAAGTCGTGTAATCTTTGCTGACAGGAAGGAATGAATGATGAACACAATTGGTTTTGGACAGGAATGAAGGTCCAGTTGCTGAAAGTACAGAAAGAAATCAAGTTGAGAATGATTAGATTAGATTACAGCTCAAATATGCCATCATTTACAGAGTACTTGATTAACTGCTGCCTGGTATTTCGAACAGGCTTCTATTAATAACAACCCTTTATTACAACATATTGTCTTTTCTTTGCATATAGCTGCAAATATTTAGGTTACTAAAAGTAAGTAATAAGCATCTTGAGAGCAGATGAGATGCTGGTGCCTCTGGGCTTGCATCCACTTGGGTAAGCAGCAGAAAACCGAGTCAGATGCTGCAAGCGGTTTTCCAAGAGGTTCATCCCCTCTGTCTTTTCAAACTCTGTTTCTGCCCAGGGATGGTGGTGGGAGTGCGATGTCCAACACGAAGTGCATCTGCTGTTGGTCACAGCTGAAGCCAAGATACTGCAGCTTCAGCTGATGCTGTGTGGTTGCTCCTCTGTTCACACAGCCGGCAGTGAGACTGAACTGAGACGTTTTTTTCCCATAGTCATGGTTCAGATGATCTCACCACATGCTTGCTAAATACGACAGACCTGTCAGTATGGACAGCAGGTTCAACAGTAGGTTCACATCAAAACAAACCAGACTGGCCTTTCTACCAGTCATGTATCAACTTGATTGAGAGCTAGTAACAAATGCCCCTCTGAAAGCCCGACAATAAGCAGTTCGCAGAGTACATGCTATCAAAGATGATGTGAAGAATTAAGCACCCACTGTGCTCAGGAACTGCTGAAGAAATCTGGCAGGAAAGACCATGTTTACATGCATAATTTATGGTGCCTAAACTGCTCGTCAGAATAAGCACGTTATTTTTAAGCATTGTGACAGCTAACTTAGAGGCCTAAGCAGACAGTTTGCACTACATCTGTAGTCTGCAATTTTTTTCAGCAACTAGATGATCAAAAATGCCTAAAACATAGCTTGTTGTCATAACATAAAGTCTCTATGTGTACATGGGAATTAATACTATCTCATTCTTAAGTTCTTCGACCCGCAATCATTTAAAAAGTGAAATGGATACATACAAAAATTCTAACATCTAGCTATTTAGAGATACAATTTGTTCTTAAATGTAAGAAATTTTTCATCCCTCTTTGCATGGTTTTACCACTTTATTTCTCTTTTTAGTTTATCTCCTAAAGCCAGATCATCATGCTGTACTAGAAAGCACGGCATCTAAATACTAGTACTAGAACCTGGTACTGGCCAGCTGTTATTACAATAGAACAGAACAGAACAGAATAGAATCTTTCAGTTGGAAGGGACCTACAACAATCATTTAGTCCAACTTCTGTTAGCACTTCTCCACCCCACAGCCTGAAGGACCACCAAAGAGACGGTAACTTGTATCCCTTTGCTAAATGCAGTACTTACAACTTCTCCGTCCTTTCCTCCAAAGTCTAAATAAAGCATCCTTATCCCATCATCTGAGGACATTTTCAGTTTTTCATAGGGATATTGTGCAATTGTCTTAGAGAAGGCACCATCTTGTGGTTCAGTTGTAAGAGAGAATCCATGTTCGTAATGGATGGTCAAACGGCACTCCTGGCTTTTATATGTGCAAGCTAGAGAAGGAAACAAAATTCAGTCTGTAACATTCTTAAAAGCAAAAATTTCTATTTGGCTGTGGATGTCTGCATTTTACATTTGATCTGAACACTATCTTGCGGAAACTAACCTTTCCTAACACTGGGCTAATCATGCTCTAACTGTAAACCTGCAGATTTGGAAAAACAACAGAAATCTTTCTGTTGTGCAAGGTCCAGGCAAGGTTTGCTAGTTATGGTGTAAACACACAGACTAAAATAGCGCTCAGCAGTAGCAGTACTGATGTCAGTGCTTTCAGTTATTCGCTGCATTCTTCATGTTGCAGTGTACATCTATATGCAGAAACAAAAATCATCTACTGAAGTTTAAGAAGGCTTGTGCTGGCATTCCTTCCTTCCAAACCTTGACAAAGTCACAGCTACTCTTCTTCTTATGTCTGACAGACATAGCCAAAATCAATAAAAGTGGCGCACAACACACGAGAAAATTAGAAGCTGTAAAGGGTTCCCTAAAGTATTTTGACAAAGATGAAGACACTCCTGGGTCCTCATTAGTGTTGTGGTAATTGAAAAAGGGCCCAGATAATTGTATATCATAGCTACTGCAGCAGAAAGTCTGCATCTTCCCCTCAGCTCAGAAGCATAGACCATGATCCAAATTAAAAAATGAAAAAGATTAGATGTTCACATCCCAAATTCTCTTTTCCACCACTTGCTGTGAACAATTCTGCCAAGAAGGGTCCTTGGCACTGGGATAAAAGCACTGCAATAAAAGAAGGGGCTGATGCCCTACTCCTGCTTTTGGAAAGAAAGGCATCCATGTCACTGTACGGAGGAGATGGATGTGCCCTCGAGATGGTTCCCACTGAACACTCCGGTTGGTTTCCACATCAGAGGCCCTCGCAAAGCAGCCTGAGCTCCCTGTGAGGCACAGGGCCTGGCAGCAAATGGGCAGGCATCCCCATGCTCAGCAGCACTTGGCTGTACCTGACGGCTTCATGAAATCAGAGCTGCTCTTTGTCGTAGAGCGGATTTGTGCTTTGGCTCTAGCTCTCATTTTTAGGCAATGAGTGGAGGTGATGTTCAACTTTTAACAGCCCTGCCAACTGTATGGCTAGCCAGGGAAGACTCCCAAATCCTGGGGGCCCTTGAGAGAAAGGCACAGACTCTAAGCCCCAGAGCCACCCCAGGCTAGCAGCTACCTGGCCAAATGGGGCATCACTCCAGAGCATCTGCAGCTGATGCAGATAACCAACTTTTATTCCAGTTGATTTTGCATGTACAGAAGTGCTGAGAAGTGACACCCTGATGTTCAAGGAGGGAAATGACTAGCCACCTAAATGTGGCTATTGGACTGGTTTGTATTTTTTCACTCTTCTCAAGTGTGCGGAGCTGGGTGAATAAATGACTAATTCACACCAGTCCTCCTCTGCCTCCTCCCTCTGCAGGAGAAACTCCCACCAGGCTCTTAGGAGTCTCCCGAATCTCAGAAAAATGCTCTTTTCTGTGGGTTTTTGGACAAAACTCTGATGATCACTCCTCTGTGACACAGAGCCCTATATAGCTGACTACAGACTTGTGTCTGAAACAACATGCCAAAAACAAGACCAAAAGTCAGAATGACAGTGACTCTGTCCCTGGCCACAGGTACCATGCCAGCTGGCACTGGCTCATAAACCAAGGGGACAGTATTTTAAACACATAGAACCCTAAATATGCACATTTTTTTAAAATGAATTACCTCTAACAGAAGGAGCTTGAACTACCCACGAGTGTCAGGAGGAGGTGTGGACACGGTGCCGCAGGTGTTACTCACATGTGGTGATTTCCGTGATGAGCTCTGCAGAATTGTGGCAGCCCTGCACCACGCTCCTCGTCCACAGTGAGAGGTCTCGGCTAGTCTCCGTCCTGAACAGATGGGTTTCAATCCCTTGCCTTGTACCGGTACGGGTTGCAAAAGACAAATCTACCCCGGACTGCGGTGAGCCTTTTCCTGGACCAGAATGGACCAACCTGTAATTGGATTTGAAAACACATCAGGGAATTATAATGCTGACACAGCACACTGCACCAAAATCTCCACCTGAGAGCAGCTCTGCTCTGTACGTTCCTAAACGCACGTGGTTGGGAGCACAAGAACTTGCATCTCCTCTGTATTTGAGCCTAAACTGACTCCTAGTGACACTCAGAAGAGTGAAGGTCCAAGGCAGCGCCTACAGAAGCAGCCGGATATGCAGGTGATGACAAGGACATCCCAAAATTTCCTCATGAATTGTATGAAACACCCCTTTGGATGAGGAACCGAGAGAAATCACTGGTCTGTGGTGATGAGGTTTGGTCCACAGATAAAAGTGCTCACTCAGGTGACGCAGCTGAATTCAACTTTCACTGTCAAGTGGCATTTGACATAAAGCTTAAAGATCTGCAGACAAACTTAGGGATAAGTGCTGTCAGATAAAGCAAGGAGTTCCGTAAAATACGCAGATGCCAAAGTACTGTCTTGTGCATACTTTTCCTATAAGAAACTTGTAAAATGCAAAATGTTGCAGCTACTTGTAATGTGAAATTCTCTCACATTTTGCTGTAATTAACATTTTTTTTTGCCTGGCATCAACAGCTCATCTCCTCTGACCACGAAAGGTTTGTTCATCTGGACAAGCACTAATCGCAGGGAATATTTTTGAGTGAGAAAATCAACACTGCATAATATTTAATTCTTCTTTAAGAATACCCTTTTGTGTTTTTTTTTTCCCTGCAGAAGTGTGGACAGTGAATACAGAACTCACTCAGAAACATGACACTGATTCAGCTGAAAAGAGTAATCAAGAGGAGCTCATCACTCTTTGAAATCCAGAAACTAACCCTCAGAGGGAGTCACAAAATTAAATTCCTCTGGAAAGCTTATTTCTGTCTTGTGTCTCCTCTTTCCTTTTCTATAGGCAAACAATATACTTCATATGAGACTATAAAGTAAGTATATAGCAACGTAGTAGAATACTTGTACCGAAGGATAAAACATTAGATTATGCTAATCATCTATTGAATGCTAATTCACTCTCAAATTATTGTTTTGCATCTGGAAGAATAGTTGCCTGTTAGCTGACACTGTAGAAGCATGCCATCAAAGAAAGATGTTTTAATAGGACAAAAAAGCAGAAAGGAAAGAAAAAGCATAACTTTAGCTTTTCAGTTATTGAAACACTAACCATATGGCATCTCAAATTTTCCTCAATTCCCTGGCAGTCCGTGCTGACATTTGGGATACATATTGTGCTGAAAGATGCGTCCCTCTTTCATACCCCACTAGAAGGTTTGCAAGATTTGTTCATGCTCAGGTTTGTGCTAACTTTCTTTGGATTTTGGAGATCTGCCTTGATTTCATGGTCCCGGGAGGTCCCGGGAGGTGAGATGCAGAGTATCCCGGTCAGAGCTGCCTTGCCCTGTGTCTGGGCAGGAGAGCCTCTTCCAGAGAGGCACCACGACCCTCCCCAAATGCTTTTTTGCCTCTAGAACGGCTGCGTTAATGCCTCACTCAGCCGTGATACTCAAGGCCTCCTAACTGCACCCTGGGAAGATTTTGCCGTCGGGGAGTCAGTGGCAAACAACCAGCCCAAAAACTTTAATTCACTTTCATTTGGGGTGAGGACATGCAAACTCTGAGGGCAAGCTGCATCTTGATAATTAAGGCAGGAGTCTGGGAACTGAAATCTCCGATGACTTCTGCTGCTGCCTGTCCCTGGCCAGTCACCCTGGCACAGGCACGGCCACCGCTCTCATGCTGCCTTCTGCTACTGGGGGAAAGCAGCCTGGAAAAATCACATCAAGTCTGTCATTAAAAATAAAACTATTCCAGCTTCTTCCTGGGTCATCCCTTCTCCTTTATGCAGTGCTCATCAGCTGTGCTAAAAATTGTTTTCTAATACTTGTGAGACCGAATGTGTGACAGACAGATGGTTCCAGTGTTTTATTTCCTTCAAATCCATCCCCTACTCCCCTACATCTTCATGCTTTATCCATAGCACTGGCTTTGTAAGTTTTTCAGCATATGGATAGAATGAAGACGTACTTTACAAATTAAAGTATGTGGCCACATCCAACATGAACATTGTTTCTTGCCTGCCTTCTCATTTGCATTATCCCCTCATTATTAAAAATTCAGTCTTACTATTGAAAAATCCTTTTCTATCATACAACTCCAGATCGTGCTTTGCAAAATCACGCAGTTAAGCATGAGCTAGACAAATATGCAGGGGAACATTTGATAGTATTTATGTACCAGCTGTCAGTACTGATGTATTTGGGTACAGGTCAAATGACTCCCAAACGTTAATAAAATTGCATTCACGTGAGCTGATTCATTTACATAAAAGATATTTTATCCTAAAGACCACAAAAATAATACCTTAAAAGGCAAAAAAGAGTCTTAGAAACTTCACAGAAGGCTTCCTCTTGCCCCCGCCTCCCGTCACTCTGACCGCAGCGGAGGTTGTGTGCGTGGTGCACGCTGCACCCCAGAGCTGAGCAGGTACCCCAGGGCTGGCTCTGGTGATATTCACCCACAGTCCCCGCAGGTTCCTTGGCTCCATGGAGGTTTCTGAGACTGGGAGCAGGCAGGAGCCCCAGGGCTCCTCCCCAGAGCAGCCAGAGCCGCAAGAGGGCAGGAGAAGGTTGGTCACCACCAAGTTGGTTTGCACAGCATGTAGGTAACAGGCAGCAGCTGTAAAATGCAGCTCTTGGTATGCTCCAGGGAGCCAAGGAGACACTTCTAATCTTCTCTAGTTTCTCCCTTGTCTTTCTATGTTTTGGGGACCTTTTTAGCATTATTATTTGTAACCGTGTGATAGCAAGATGAGTACGGTCCAACATGAAGTGCTGGTGCTGTATGAGATGTACCAGGACCTGCTTCTCATCCTAATGCTATGAAAAGAGTTTCAACCATTTACTGCAACAGCAAAATCTATGGCCTCTTCAAAACGGACAGTGAAACCAGCACTGACATTCAAAGCAAGTGTTCAGCTGCTCATTACAGATTTACCTCAGAAGAGATTGTGATACAAGTGCCTTATGCAGCTCTGCCCAGTAGAAAGCCACTATCATCTGACCTTTCTTATGCTGAAACCTCTCCTTACCCCGATTTAGCAATTGAAGCCCGCTCTGGAATGGCTGTACCCTTTGGAAACCTCTGCACGTACTCTCAATTCATCCGAGCTCTGCACAGAGGGAGCCACAACCACCCTCACTGCCCCGGGAAGATGAGCAGAGAACTTGCACAGCTTGCACAGCACTTCACACACCTTCCCTGGGGTGCTCAGGAATCCCCATGCTCTCCGCCTGCCCCTCTGCCCACTTGCACAGATGACTATTCGGTGCCCAAACTCCTGCCCCAGTTTCCCATGGCATTAACTATCAAACTGCTTTAATACTTTCTGGTTACAGACCTCAGCTTTACACAAAAGCTACTTACCTGATCTTTAATCAGAGTCCAACATGGGCTGCTTTTTTTTTTCTTTTGTTTTGTATCTGACTATGATAGATAACGGAATTTGATTGCAAACATTTAATATGTAATTACTTAAGCTCCATGCCCATGCTAGAGGGAGGCACTGTTATTCAGGCATAGGGAAACACTGAAACAGAGATTATGACAAAAAGGTCCTCGGAGCCAGGGCTATGAGCCAGCTGCTGTGCCTCCCGGTGCAGAGATTTAAAGTAACAACTTAGATCTCCTGATCTCCGTTTTATTTGAGCTATTACTTATATTCCACACAAAGCTGGGAAAGACTGACTGGAAAATATTTTTAGGTTTTCATAGCATCCATAGGTTGAAGGAAAACTTATCAACAAACAAAAAGGGCATGTTGAAATTCTGCTGTTAAAATACTGTAAGGAGATTTTAATCCTCCTACCACTTTCCAATTTTCTCTGCTCATTATGTCTTGGGTAGATTAAGCATGACTCTGTACAGTATCTGGCACTGAAGTTTTCCAGTTTCAGCAGCTTTTCAAATATGCATTAGCTAAGCAAAAATGTTTTCCCAAGGACTCATAAAAATCTGAAAGATGGGAGCAGCCAAGATTACAACATGTGGTCTGCAAACTTTCCAGGTGAAAAGTTCTAAATTGCACTGATCAATGCACAGAGGGGATTAAAAAACCCATCACAAGGAGGGTAATCACTGACCGAGCATGAGCACAGCAGTCAATACCAACAGCAAACCCTGTGTATTTTTTTTCTGTAACTGTAGTCAGTATGACAGATCATAAAAGCAGGATCCTGCAGGGTTTTAATCAAAATCATCCAAAACAGTAGATGTAATGATTTAAGGCATCTGACAATTTATGTAATCTGCTCACCTTGGGGAATTCACTTATCTATATGTATTTATCAGACCGTGACTCCATTCTGAATGTCAGGTTCTGTGTATCTCCTGTCTTTTTACGTAAATGTTACATTCACAGCGCTATTAGTAAGAGATAACAGAGATGGGGCTGGAATGGTTCTCAGGAGGTCACCTGGCGCATCCCCCTTCCCAGGGCAGGGCTAACTGTGCCGACACACTCCTGAGGGTTACAGTGTCACCCGTCCTTCACAGTCCCCAGTGATGAGGATCGTACACCTTTCCTGGAGAATCTAATCCAGTACCTCACCCGCACACCAAGTTTTTCCCAGGACCTATCCCAAACCTCCCCTGTCACAGATGCAGTCAACTATGTCCTGTTGTATCCAGGAGGGACCTGGAGAATGTGCTCCCCTGTCCTCCTTGTGTCTCATCTTCATACTTGAAAACTATTGACACGTTTTCCATGGACTTCTCTAGATTAAACAATTAAGGTTGCTTAAGTATTCCCCTACTGATAGTGTTTTCTAGGTCTTACATTTGCATTGCTTTCTTCTAGGTCTTCCACAGTTAACTGGAAGTGCAATGCCTCACATGAAGGTGGTGTATCACCTGAGGCTTTACTCATGCTCTGTAGTTAGGTACGATTACTACATCTGCCCAACATGCAACACTTCTGCTATAACTCAAGATGATTGCCTTTATTTTCCCTCTCAAAAATGTAACATGGTAGATTTAAGCAATTTCACCACACTGCTCAGATGCTTCCTAGCAGAGCAACTACTTTGCTCATTTTCCACCCCAAACCACCACAGCTCATTACTCCCCAGCACTGAACTTTGCACTTGTCCTTTCTGAACTGTATCCTGTCTTTCTTACAGACCATTTTCCCAGTTCATAAAGACTATTCAACAGCCTGACACCTGTGCCGAGCAACTTCTCATTCCTTTCCAGCCTGAAGGCCAATGCTCCTCCATTCACACAGGAATCCCATTGGACAGGGAGATGACTATCCCCACTCAAGGCAAGCTGGTGTGCTATCAAATCTGAACTCCTGAGAAAAAGTAATTAAATAACAAGCCCTCCAAGATGAGGACTTAGATTGTCTGATGCGGTAAATCGGTCATCATGGATGATGGAGGCTGGTAATGCCAACCGAAGGGCTGTCTTTACATGTGATGACGTGTGGTCAGGAAGGGGCAACATGCGCTGCAGGATCTCCAGTCACTTAAAGGAGGAGGACTTGGGTCCATGTACAAATGACACTCCAAAGCAGTGGGGAGGAGATGCAGCACCTTCTGCTGGGGTGCTCTTGTTTCACAAACTCTTAGGCTTAGTGACACACCTGGACACAGCCTCCGGCTCCAACACCTTACCCAGTTTTAATCGGGAATTGTCACCTGGAATTGTCAACCTTCACTGCCCCACCACGCAGCAGGCTGCAAGCTGCAAAGCTTGGGGCTCTCAGCTCCTGTTACAGTTACAAAGGGTGAGTCGGAAGCTGGCTTCCCAGGAAGTCTGAAAGCTCCATCATGGGTACGTAGGCTGGGACAAAACAACCATCAGTGTAATTCACTGAGTTCCAGTTGTTGTTTTTTTTAATAAAATGATTTAGCAGCAAAGCCTCAGTTCATTTGGGAAGAGAACTAAGAGACTGAGAACAAAAATTAACTAATGAGAGTGCAGTAAGAGACCCACTACTTTTGGCCATGTGCAGCCAGCCCTTCTGAATGAGAACTCATTGAAAATGGTATAATAGAAGCCTGTAGCAAGGCCAAAACAATGGAACAGCAGCTCTTTCTCAAGCCCTTTGACCATACTGGCAGAGAAATGTGATTAAGATTCACATCAAGAAACACAGTTAGTTTCCACTGCATAAAGACAACCATGGGAAAGCTCTCTCTGAATTAGTGTTGATGGATACCTTTGAAATAATAATGCACATGGTTATTTCCAACCTAGATTCAAGAATGTGTCTTCCAAGCTCACCATTTTAAGATAAAATAAAAAAGAGGAGTTCATTCACTAGAGCAGAAACAGAAGCTGTGCTGAAATTAAGCGTCTCCATCATATGTGCAATCTTCCAAAAGCCCCAAACCAGTGGCACAGAACCGCCACACCGGCATGTCCAACTCAGGACGACAATTTCACCTTTTTTCAGCCTGAAGGAGCAGCTGGAAATCTGAGTGCTTCTGCCAAGCCCTTAGGTCTGCAAACTGAGATAGGAATCTCAGGAGATTGAGTTCTCAGATTTTTCAGCACTCCTGCCTCTGGATCTGGGCCAAACAGCCATGTCCATAAAATCCTTCTGGTGTGCTTCTGGCCATCAGCCTCGGCCAGAACTTGAAACAGAGGAGAAGAGAGGAGTTAAGCTGAGCACATCAGCCCACTGAAGAAGAATCTGCTTCTCAAACCACAGCATTTCAAGTGTGATATATAGCTGTGCACCAGCTATACCTGTTCGTGGCTGACTCAGCTGTTCCCACTGCTCTTGAGGCAGTTGTAATAAAAAAGCACAGGTACCTGGTGGCTAGCAGGGGGTAGGTATGCAGGGGGCTGAACCAAGCTTCCTTCATCCGTGGCATGCTCTCATATATTAAGAGGTCTTTCTCCGTCAAGACCACTAACACTGGCTTCCAGTGCTTCTCGTTGTCTCCTGGCACCTGAAAAAGAGCAAAGTCTCAGTGAAACAACAAGAGACAAAGTTACCATTGTGCAAAGCCTGACAATATGAACATGTCCAGTCCTGGGTGAGATAACGAACAAAAGAGAGTTTTACTTCTTTGGCTTTTTGACACCTCCCACCCAAATTTATAACCAGCTGCAGTAGAAATGGAATAAAGTGTGGTAACATCTGCTGCTCTCATTAGCACTGCCACTTCCAGCCCTCCTTGCAGCCTTCCCTTACTACAGGCTACTCTATGAATGCAGTAGTGGAAGAACACTGAAACAGAGTTGCTTGTTATTTAGCTGTGGTATGCATGAAAGGACCTTAAATGTATATTTATAATGTGTGCCATTCATGTGTAGCTGGCACATTAACCTGAGAGCTGGACACTGCTCCTGCTGTTTCTATTTTCATGAGTGAAAAAAGCTGCAACACCATCACAATTAAAGAGTGTTAGCTAGTAAAAAATAGTGGTTTGGGATCAGATGCTTTTTTCCTTAGCAGTTCACATTTTCATTGCTTCTCCTTCCTTCATACCGTTCTTCCAGTTTTACAAGTGCTGATTTATAAAGAGATCCAACCTAAACATGGGGTTGATCTGAAGCATCGACTCAGTGATTGATCTGCATCCACATTTCAAACCTGTCTGTAGAAGATGTCTAAAGACTGGGGCCTCAGAGCTCTTTACTGACTGCAGAACCCAGATGTGGAATTATATTTTGCAGGTTAGACATGTGGTAGTCCATGTGGCTACACAATTACCGTTATGGAAACCAAGTATGGATCCTGCTTTTTACTTATGGCAGCATAGAAGTGTCTTAAAACAGATGGGAATATGAAAGGGTCTTAGTTTCAAGTAAGAATGAAGCTTTTTTCTTTCACAAACAAATTCATCATTTTCCTTTTGGTGTACGTAAAGAAAAAGAAACCCTGTTAGACCACAGCCATGCTTTCAAACCCAAACATCTCAGCTGGGTGCTAAAGGGAACTAAACAAATTCTGAGATTCACCAGAGAATCTGGTTGTCTACATGACTCCTCCATTAACACCTTCTCCAGGAAAGAGAAGCAGTTGTCTGTGCTGTTTTATGGTTGATGCCAGCGTGCTTGCCATGGGTGTGTGTTGCTGGGCACATCACTGGGTGGGGAAACATAAAAGGGATCAATCAAGGGTTGGCCAGGCAGGGAGTGGCACAGCCAGGAACGGTGATTCGGATCTGTAAGTATGATGCACCTTAAGTGATGGATTCAGATTGAGAACCACATTTGAAACACTTGTATATGAAGACTGGATCCCACAAATTTTTAAACTTTTAAGAACTTTCAAGACAGTTGTAAGACAGCTTTGCATTAGAACACCAATGCCCAAAGCAGATCTTAAACTAAGATTTTTGGCCTGCTTAAGTTTTAAGAGGTATTTTTCCTTCTGAATTAAGCTTTTCCAATAATCTTATTCCTGTTTACAGCATAACTTGCTCATTGGTTGTTCATGTCTGTGTGTTAATTGTCTTAAGTCATAAATAGTTCATCCTTTTAATTTCTTCAGAAGCATCAATATGTATTTACAATTTTCTTGTGGTGACAGTTTCTTGAAATGCAACCTTTCGTTTTCAAATAGGGATGAATAAAGAAGCTGCGTAACAACACACCTATTAATACCCTCCAGAAAGAATGCAAAATCCAGAGTTCTTGCAGCCCATATACCATGGAAACATTCACATGCCCAAAAAGCATCCTCAGCTTCTTAATACCACAGTTATTAACTACAAGTAACACCCCAGTTCATAGTATGGGAATATAGAAATAAACGTTACAATTCATGTTAACATTTCATTTTTGAGCACCTGCCTGTGCTCTTTAACCAGCTGAAGATTTCCAGAGAAGAAAAAGGAAGATAAAAAAACTCTCATAGGATGAAAAAGCAGAATGTTCAGATCCATAATCTGGAGGAGTAAGCAGGCAGTGTACTGGGCTGTTACTTCTTATTTTTCGACTCTGTGACCACAAGCAACCCAAGGCCTAGGGGAAGCTGCTCACAGCTTTTCTGCAGAACCATCCTGCCTGTGTAGCATTTTCAATCACAAGCTTTGCTATTAGGTGGCTGGTCAGTCAACTGCGACTCCAGAACTTTGGGGGAAACACTGTTCCCTGTAAAGCAACCAGAAGAAAGGGAACAAAACTCATTTTGTCAGCTGGTCCCACAACTCTTTGCTGGACAGCCTTAAACATTAGGAGCCAGAATTTCCAGCGTGGATCCTGTGGTTACCACCTGCACAGCGAAGCCCACAGCTTTGCCCCAGTCCTTCCCAATAGCAGCGTGACGATGGAGAAGATGTGGCTCGGTCATAAGGTACTGAAGAATTTTTCTTGACAATGAGTGACCTTATACTACCTCTCCTTGTAGGATATACCCCTTGTTTGTAGGATGTATACTGGGGAGGGGAGAGAGGAGAATAATGTTTGCCTGCGTCCTGCTAGGAAGCCCTCGCCGGTAAGAAGGGCCATGCAATACGCACACTTTTAAACACATTTTTTAAACCTTGCTGGGACCGTAACTGTCTCACTGCTAAGGAATGCTGGTGTAAGCAATACTGCTGCTATTTCAGACCTGAAGAAGGATTTGTGCGCCTGAAAGCTTGTCTGTTTTTTTTTCCAGCTGTAACAGCTGTTCTAATAAAAGATATTGCCTTTCCTTAAAAACCTTGAATTGCATTACTGTTCCCCGGTTTTGTTGGGGTTTGGATCAGGCTTTAACAGCTGATGCCGAGCTGTTCAACAGGCTGTTGGCACTTCTGGAAGGCATCAAAGAGAACACGCTGTCCCATAAATGGTGATAGCAAATTTTACAAAGGAAGAAGAGAGGCTGCAAATATACCATTAGCCTACAGGGCACATTCAGAACAAATCAGCAAGGGAGATTAATCCAGATCAAGCCAGTGTCATACCAAGCATAACAGTAAATTACAAAACAAAAGCAAAAACCACGCTACTTACAGGCAGCTAAGTGAAGGATTCATTCAAGTTTTAAAGATTTTAAAATCTGACATATCATAAAGATAACATAAAATACTTCAGTAAGAGTAAATTTAAGTATCATTTGAGATTCAGCTTAAAAGTCCTATTTTAGATGATGGTTAGGACCAGCTGCTTAGCCAGAATTTTGCAGAATTCTGGCACTTCCACTACAGCTTATTCGCTCCAGTTCCCACTTCCACATGTACAATTCAAAGTGCATTGATCTGTGTTGCAGACAAATAAAATCACCACCCACTCTAAAAAACTTCTCAAGCTCAACCCTTTTTCAAGGTCAAAAATGTTGGATCAAGTCTAGATGAACTAAAGAAAAGAAAAATCAGTACTCCTCAAACATAATGAATCAGCGAATTTTTTGCTGGTCTTCTGGGCACTGTTCAAGTAACTCTAAGCAGCAGGTACCAGTGCCTCCTCTCCAAGCTCTCTGCTCATCTCAACTGAGGTCAGTGCTTATATTCCCAGGTGAAATTCCACTCCAAGTCAATGAAGCTGTAAATGTTTATACCAGAAGCAAACTCTTTTTTTTTTCTTTCCTAGACACACTGTGCCTCTAGATCAAAGTCTTCAAGTACAAACCTGAAAAAAGAGAACATTTTCTAACAAAAAACCCCCAAGTGCAGTGAAGCATCCTTTTTGCTCCTCACAAACCTCTTTGCTCTCATATAGTCACCCCACGAAGCACAAACCCCACTTTTTCCCATATGCACCTCTCTGGTTTACCCTTCCAAATTCAGAAAATATTTCATGTATGTCAGGGATGAAACCTAATTTTTTTGTGTATAACAACGTGATGGCTGGCCTGGGATGAGACCAGAGGAGACATGCATTCACATCTTGCTCGGCCGCAGGCTTTCTCTGCAAAGTCAGTCCAAATGCTCTGCATTTCCGTACGGACACTGTGGTCTCTGCTGGGGTGGCAAATGCTGCTGTAACACACACGGCAGGAATGGATGTAAATGTGAAGGTGGACAAAAAGTGCGCAAGAACGGTTGCTGTATTTCAACAGCTACGTGGAGATTTGTCCATCAGCCTTTGGATGACACAAGAGCAAAAGTGCTTTGATGCAGAAAGCAGACGGCTCACGCAGTGTTAGGACACACCTGACCCCACCGCACCGAGGATGTGCCTGAGCTCTGGCTGCTTCTGGATGCCTTTGCAGTAGTGGGCCAGCATCGCTCCAGGCTTTGCTTTAGGGCCAGATCTGTGGTCTGAAGGGCTGACTCTGCAAATAACGACGTAGCAAGCTCAATGCTACCTGTATGACTGCTCCTACTAGTCTTCAGGCAACTGCTCATGTGCTTAAGGCTGCTGCTTGCCATGTACCCTTAAAGGGTAAATGCTTCTATACATAGCAAACAATATTTCAAAGAGGAGCCAGCTTGTTTTTCCTGCAGGCGATAGGGACCCCGGCCCCTTTAATGCATATCACAGCTTCCAAATCTTTAATAGTTTTCACAGATAATTAGTTGCCGTAAGGACAACAGGCGACTCAGTGGAGATAAATCCTTTTACAAATGGTTTGGCCCTTTGCTCTTTCATCTGCCAGGTCTCCTTTTCTTAAGGTTTTTCTTGGAATTTCAGTTACTTGTCTACTTCAGGCTGCCAGGAATGGATGAAAGAATACTTCTAATCTATGAGGCCCACAGATAATTAAATTAGAGGCCTTGGTCTACTCTGGAAAGCTGTTTTATATTTTCATTAACTCAAAAGGGACATTTCAATTACATTCCCTGTTTAGTAAACAAATTATACACTGCCAGCAGACTCCACTGCAGCAAGTATCCAAAATGTGGCCTTGTGGAGAACCGCTGCGAAGGTAGCAAGTTTATGCTTACAGTAAGTGGTTTAACCCTCTTTTCCATCACCCCCTCACAAATCCCAGAGCTACGCTATCCCCTCACACAGAGCACATGAATAGGAACCAAGAAAGAATTTTCAGAAACGTTTTTCTTGCTATTTTCCC